AGTGCTCTACCACACATGTTGAGAGCTTGATCTTGACCCGGTTGGCTTGGTGTCCCGCTGGGGGATGTACCTGGACAGGGAAATTTCGCAAGTTGAGGACGTGTACGTCGGCGCCGGATCACACGCTCCAGGGAGGAAGAAGAGCCCCGTTGCTCACGATACTACGCGCACGGGACAAATGTCCCAAAGAGTAGACGAGTCTGGGAACAACTTTTACATTTTTTCGCTATGTCGCACTCACGCGCTCACTCAGGCTCCATCTCACTCAGGCACTCTCCCACTCAGGCACTCTCTCACTCAGGCACTCTCCCACTCAGGCACTCTCCCACTCAGGCACTCTCTCACTCAGGCACTCTCTCACTCAGGCACTCACGCACTCACTCACTCGCGCACGCACTCACTCACTGACTCACCGGGAACGTGTAAGCTATGGGAAGCGGCGGGATTCTTAACAACCACGTTAACAGTGGCGACATTTGCAGAACAACAGAGGTGAGGAGTGAGTTATGAACACTTATATCGTAATAATACTTATTTCGAAACTGATTTTGGTTGTTAATAGTGGACGCTAATAGTTAGATACCTTGTGGTCTAAGGATTGTTGATGAATAATATAAATTTCATGATTTGCTGTACATATTTAATGTAAACAGATGATTCTTAATTCCAGAAAGATTTCGAGCAACGATAGAGCTAGAAAATGCTTTTCGCTCGTAGGTAAAGTACCTTTTAATTATCTTTGAATAGTGCATTAATGCAAGTAGTTTATACTGTTATACTTTATTGCGAAAATACATATTTTAAAACAAGTGACTTTCAAAACGAGTTTCCATATTTTTACAAATTAAGTAAAACGTCTAAAACGAGTTGCACACTTATTTTCTTATTTAACAGTATTATAAATCTATAGAATAATCGAATTCAATTTTTGAAAACTTTATTATGACGTCATATGTAATTGAATGGTGCGAGAAACTGTAGTCGATTGCGCGATTTACCGCCACCGTCTTACGGTTCGCTTGCTGTGATTGGCTAAATGTTTTTTAATAAACACATTTTATTGTCACTTTCATAAAGATACATGATACGTGCAGAACAGAAAGGAAAACAACGCAAATCGCAAGACTTATTCTCACAAATAACTACTATCTTTAGGTAACCATTTGTACTCCGTAATTATTAGTTGCACGATTCCATATCGTAAATATTGCACAATTTCA